AGGGAAAAAGTGCGTCCTATGGTGCGAAAAATACGGTAACTTTCCATTTTGCACCATCTTAGGTTTCCTTATTTGTGAAGTGAGGACACTGTTCTCTGCTAGGTAGAGCTGTGAAAACAAATTATTATAGCCTATTTATAGTTTTCTAAGATTGAGTGCCACTCTCTAAACCGTTAACATGAAAGGGAATAACTCCCTGACTGTGGTGGTATTACAAGCATTTCTGTCTAGCATGTTCCTTCTGAGTTACTTGGATTTCTTTAATTTTTAGTAAGGAAGTGGCCAAATAGCTTGCATGTGTGCTCTATGGTCACCATCGCTCACAAGTGAACTGAAATTCAGCAAACTTTTTAGATAAACAATTCTTGAGCGGTCATGTTCATGACAACTTCCATCTTATCCTATCTGCTGGGACATGCGCAAGTCCTCCCCCTCCCCCTCCCTCCCTCCCCCCTCCCTCACGCACTCTGCAGACATGCATACTGGAAGCAATGCATGGGTGTTGCTCTGCTAATAGAAGGCATCTGTCAGCAGAATGGTGAAAGGGACAATTTTTGGCAATTCCTTCTCTTCCCCTTGAAGTATGTATTGGTGGCCTTTTCGAGTGGGTGGGAAGTATGATAATAATGATAATAATAACAATTTTTATTATTTTATTTTATTTTATCCCCCGCCCATCTGGCTGGGTTTCCCCAGCCACTCTGGGCAGCTTACAGCATATATAAAACATAGTAAACTATCAAACATTTAAAAACTTACCAGTACATGGCTGCCTTCAGATGTCTTCTAAAAGTTATGTAGTTCTTTATCTCCTTGACATCTGAAGGGAGGGTGTTCCACTACCGAGAAACCTCCCCCCTTGGTTTTGTTGTTTGTTTGGTGGTTTTGCTTTGTTTTATAACGGGTAGAGGGGACGCGGGTGGCACTGTGGGTAAAACCTCAGCGCCTAGGACTTGCCGATCGTATGGTCGGCAGTTCGAATCCCCGCGGCGGGGTGAGCTCCCGTCGTTCGGTCCCAGCTCCTGCCCACCTAGCAGTTCGAAAGCACTCTTAAGTGCAAGTAGATAAATAGGTACCGCTTTATAGCGGGAAGGTAAACCTCGTTTCCGTGTACTGCGCTGGTGCAGGCTAGCCAGAGCAGCTTCGTCACGCTGGCCACGTGACCCGGGAGTGTCTTCAGACAGCGCTGGCCCCCGGCCTCTTAAGCGAGATGGGCGCGCAACCCCAGAGTCGGTCACAACTGGCCCGTATGGGCAGGGGTACCTTTACCTTTACCTATAATGGGTAGGCAACCTAAGGCCCGGGGGCCAGATCTGGCCCAATCGCCTTCTCAATCCGGCCCGCGGACAGTCCGGGAATCAGCGTGAGTAGAATGTGTGCTTTTATTTAAAATGCATCTCTGGGTTATTTGTGGGGCATAGGAATTCATTCATTCCCCCCCCCAAAAAAAAATATAGTCCGACCCACCACATGGTCTGAGGGACGGTGGACCCAGCCCACGGCTGACCCCTGTTTTATAAGTTGCTTGGAGTTGCTCTGGCAAGAAAAAGTGACTAACAAATTTAATTAATTATATTAATAATTCCCCTGCAGGCAGCCCCTCATGCCCTGCAAAATCTGTTAAGGGGTGCTTTTTAAGCCTCTGGAGCACATGTTGAGATGGGGGCCGTAGGGAGAAGGAGGAATTGCTGAATACTGCCTCACACACTGTTCCACTGATGGACACCTTCCATCAGCTGAGAAACACATTGGATCCCAACCATTTTCAGCAGGGAACATGCTATATAAGATCTTTCATTTCTTTTTAGACACATGTGCCATCTGCTTCTCATAACTGAGCTCTGGGCAAACCTGTTTTGCCTGCCCCTGATTTTCGGTAGAAGCCACTTGTGGGCAGCTTTCATTGGCCTGCCCTGATGTCTGTCACGATCTCTCCCCACCCCCACCCCACCTTCTTGGAACATATTTTCATATGACTTCTGGCTTCTCCTCCTCTAGTGTGGCAGACAGTAGGTGTTTAGAATCTTTTGCTCATTTATTTATTTATTTTTATGACATGGCTTGTTCGATCATCAGGTTCTAATAAATTGTCATTAATGCAGGTGTGGGCCTTCATATTTTGCTTGTGAGGACATTTTGGTCAAGCCACACCCACCTGCCATACACACGTGGGGCAGGTAAGGAAGGTACAAGTGAAAGCAGGGTTGCAGCTGCCTGCAAAGCCCTCTGCAGAGCACTCCGCAAGACCCAACAGTCAGCTGATTGTCACACGGTTTGAATTGTGACATCAGGTGATTGACAGGAGAGTGGCACTGCCCGCTTGCCAAAAATGGCACGTTGAGGTTGCGGGAGATAAAAATCTGTGCTGCTGACCAGCTCCAGTCCTGTTCCCCACCCCCGGCGTGCTACCAGGGTGGATTTGATGTAGGGTAAATCAAATCGATTTAAATCACAATTTAAATCACTAGTCAGTAAGACTTGATTTAAATCATTTTTTTACAGGAAGACTCATTCTTGCTGCTATAATCTTAATATTTACAACTAGATGAAGGCTTCATTTTTGGAATAATAAATTTTCAGTGTAGTTTTTACAGTTATATCAAAAATTACTAATTTGGTTATACTATTAGAAATACAAAGACAGGTAATTATAAAATTATTGTTTATATTTGGACAACTTTTCTGCTGTACTTTATTGGAAGGAGAAAAATAATAATTTTCTTAATAACAATTTAAACAGTTTATTTAACAAAACAATAACATTTTAGCATATGTATCCATGTTTGTTAACTGATGTGGTTAAATGATTATTTTTTTTAAAAAACAACAACCTTAGACTGAGTTTTAGTACACATGAAAAACTTAAAACAAATCTTTATTTCCTGATGAATAGCCTTTGGATTATAATGTAACTTAAATAGAAAACTGTCTTTAGAAATTTTTCCTCCAAAAGCATTTTACAGTGGTACCTCTAGTTATGAACTTAATTCTTTCTGAAGGTCCATTCTTAACCTTAAACTGTTCTTAACTAGAGGCGTGCTTTTGCTAATGGGGCCTCTTGCTGCCGCTGCGCCACCAGCACACGATTTCTGTTCTCATCCTGGGGCAAAGTTCTCAACTCGAGGTAACTCTTCCAGGTTAGCGGAGTTTGAAACCTGAAGTGTTTCTAACCTGAGGCATTTGTAACTCGAGGCACCACTGTATTTTAAAAATCTGATTTAAATAAAAAAGTCCAATTTAAATAAAACTGATTTTCATATATATATATATATATCATTGATTTTCATCCTCCCTGCCTGCAATCCTGGTTTAAAACATGTAATCTTCTTGCCAACGTCAAAGTGAGCTTGCTGAAACTAACCATAGTTAAGCATAACCACAGTTCCATGTTTGAATGACATGGCAAGCTGTGGTTAAGTAAGCGGAAACCGAAATTCCTCCTCCCAGTCACATGTGGAGAAGGGTAAAAACAAACGCCCAAGGCTTGCTGTGGCTCAGTCACATTATGCGGGGCTACAGTTTAGCATGACAATCAAATGCAGACATAAATTGGAATAATGGGTTGTTCCTCATGGCACAATTGCTTGCAGGAGTTAATCATGCAGTTACACCCTCATTTTATAATGACGCCTAATTATTTGAAATATAGACCCTGAGAATTCAGCAGCTCAGAAAACTCTTTGTTTCGTGCCATCCGATTGTTGCAACTTGCTTGACCCAAACAGTGGCTCACTGTTGAGCGCTTTTACCCTTTCTTAGAGGGGCTGATGTTTAGAGGGGATTCCTTGCCCATTAGCAGCATTTGAGGGTTAATAGAAAAGAGTGCCTGTGTTGGCTTGTATATATAGCTGGAAGAACTTGGCCAGTAACCGGATTTAAAGCGTGTGGGAGGTAAAGCAGCATAATAACAAAAACAAATCTCTTGGTGTCCTATAAAGGGGAATGGAAAAAAACTGATGGAGGACTCACATTGGAACAACTTGTCATGCTTGTTTATAAGTAATTTTGAAAGGTGGTTGGTTTACATTACTACTGTGTTTAAATGCTTGCTTTATTTATTAAACCTCTTAGTGCCTGAGAGCTGCCTTATGTAGAAAAAAACTTATCCTCAATTGCTGGCTGTGTACAGATGATAGAATTTTAGGGACTGGAATTGTAAGTTTATCATTTGCCTGTGTACATGTCTGCCTGTGGTCTTGGCTGCATCCAGCTTTGAAGTTTTCATAGCTCTTGAACTGCATCATAGGAAAACAGAAACCAGCCTCAAATTATGGTTAAAGCAGTTTTTTGAAATAGGGGTGTGGGGTGGCAGGGTGGCATTACACACAGAAGCCCCTCGCTTGTATGTTGCTTCCTCCCTTTGCCCCCTACACCAGGGGTCGGCAACCTAAGGCCCATGGACCCCCGCCGCCCACTCGGTTGGCTCTCATGCGTCACGCTATACTGGCACAGAGCAGAGTGGGGACCACCTTCTGCGATGCTGGTTGGCTTCCCATTGGCTGCAGAAAGCTCCTGCAGCCAATGGGATGCTGCACAAGCCTCCTCCACACCAGAAGGAACGCCGGAAATAGCGTTTGCACATGCGTGTGTGCGTGCACTCCGGCCCACCGCGGTGCCTGCGGGATGGTGAACTGGCCTAAGCCACAAAAACTTTGCCGACCCCTTCCCTACACTTTTGTGAATTTACCACTTACTCTCAACAAGCCATACTTTACTTTACTTTCAACTGAACCTGGGTAACTAGGGTTTGCAAATTCAGGAATGCAAACTAGGACCAAATTCGGCAAACTGTGTTTAAGGTTGCTGTTTGTTTGTTTGTTTATTAATATTTTGAAGAATATATACATATGTACCCAAGAGATGGATGCTGGAAGTACACATGTGACACGTGACAACCACCAACACCTTTGTAGGGCGGCTTGCCTCATGCTTTCAAAAATACTTTGAAAAAACACGATTTCTGTTTAAATAAAGAAATAAAATTAAAATCTCTTCCACAGAATTATGGTCTCGAAACGGACAACATGAAGAACTTGCTTCTTAAGCTACGAGCTTCTTCCAACAATCTGCAAAACTACATTGGCAGCCGGAGGAAAAGTTCAAATTATGATGGAAATACCTCACGCAAGCCTCCTAATGAATTCCTTACCTCAGTGGTGGAGCTTATTGGTGCTGCTAAGGCTTTGCTGACGTGGCTGGACAGGTAGGATATCTTGTATGCTTTTAAACACAAACAATAAGAAGGTAATCCATATCTTTTAAGAATTGTATTCCCTCCTCCAACCTCCCCCTCCAAACATCTCCCCCCCCCCCCGCCAAGGCAGACTTTAAAGGGAAGCTGGGACATAGACATTTTTCCTTGCTTGCCTTCCAGGGAGTCTTTGTTTACAAATAGCATTTATCTTGCAGTATCTTAAGTGTGGAAGTAGGACTTTTCCAAGTGTCCTTCAGCATGACAGCACCTCCACTTTGGAACTCCCTGTCTATTGATATTAGGCATGTGCCTTCGCTGTACTATTTTGGTGCCTGTTAAAAATGCTTTGTTTCAGCAAGTCTATACAGATATGTAAATACAACACTTATTTTAATATCTAATTTTATTTTATAATGCGTATTTTTAAAACTGCTGATTTTTATTTTATTTTTAGGCTAACTTGTTTTTAACATCTGATTTTATCGGCAATTTTAATTTATCTTCATATAAACTGTGTAGAGTTTTTGACGATTAAATGGTATATAAATCCTGTTAATTTTTTTAAAAAGTACAGTAAATAATATTGCACCTCAAAGTGGTACTGTTTTCCCATATGCTACTGCAAGGAAGGATTACATGGAAGTTTGCCACTTTGCATTGGGCCATACTTGACCCAAATTCCCTTAAAACAACAATGAAATATAATCATTCCATGACTTACAGTGAAATCCTATACATAGCTGTTCAGAAAAGAATCCCATTGAATTTAGTGGGGTTTTCTCGCAGATAAGTGGTTTAGGATTGCAGCCTGAATTTTCTGTTTCTCCACTATATGATAATAGGGAATTTGGAGTCGCCCCAGAGAAGTGAAGGGCTGAGAGGCAGAAAGCATTCCTTTCATCTTCTGGCTAATACTGTTGATAAGTTAAGGTAGCTTTCATCAAGTTTGTGCTTGCAGTCTGTTTCGGACTGCAATTCCCATCAGCCTCATCAAGGACGACTGTACTGCCAGGGGCAGATACGAATTGTAGTCCCAAAACAGCTGGAGCGCAGCAGGTTGGTGAAGGCTGATCTATGGAGACAGTTGCGGATATTTCCCCAGTTTGAGGCCCGAGATAAACACAAAAGTCTTTCACATCCTGCCAGCCCTCCAAAGAACCCTGATAGTGTGACAGGAAGAGACATCATGAGAGAGATTGTGGAAATGACAGGATCTTGTTGAGAAGCTGGAATGGATTTTGTTTTTAACCAGGAGCTGTTGACTGGCAGCTCTCTGCATTCTTTCTTCATCCACATTATATTGTAGTCCCCCTCCCCCTTCCCAATTTCATTGTTTATAATACAGTATGGGCCTACAGTGGTACCTCAGGTTAAGTACTTAATTCGTTCCGGAGGTCCGTTCTTAACCTGAAGCTGTTCTTAACCTGAAGCACCATTTTAGCTAATGGGGCCTCCCGCTGCTGCTGCCGCTTCGCCGGAGCACGATTTCTGTTCTCATCCTGAAGCAAAGTTCTTAACCTGGGGCACTATTTCTGGGTTAGCGGAGTCTGTAACCTGAAGCGTATGTAGCCCGAGGTACCACTGTATTGTATTTGTTGTTTGGTGAACTGCTTAGAGACTGTCTTAGTATATGTAGTATGTAAATATGTAATAACTTCATCGCAAATCTTTCTTTTGAATACTGTGGACCAGTTACTTAGTTTCAGGGCTGCTATATGTTTTGGCCTTTCCTGGTTTGCTTTCCCCTTTCTGTCCTTACGCCACCACTTTTGGCAAAGCACAACGTGAAAGTGGGACAAACCTCAGAAGAACCGGGTGAGATGAGAACTCATTGCAAGCAGAGTTTTCGATATCTGGATTAGGGCATAAGTGTGGTCATTGTAGGCAGCCATAAAAAGAGTTAAGACCTAACTAAAAGGGTTTTCTTTTAAAACAACAAGCACGGGAGTTTATAGCAGACCTGTTATTAAATATACTAAGCTTGTGGTAATGACTACTGTTGTGTGGCCTCTCTTTTTTCTTAAAGACGCATTCTTTTCTTACCACAGGACACCGTTTACAGGGATAGCTGACTTTTCTGTGACTAAGAACAAAATCATTCAGCTCTGCTTGGATCTTACTACCACTGTTCAGAAGGTCAGTTGATACACTGTGTATATAACCCACCAACCAATCTCCATCTGACCTTGTTCCATCCACATTTTACAAAAAGGAGGGCAAAACGTTGGGTGTGTGGAAGTAACCGCAATACAATTTTACATGTAGCTTGGTAACAGAAACAAATTGGCGTCCTGGGGATTTTTAGAAATCATTAGAGGAAGCAGGTGTATGGAGACCGTTGCCAAGTTTTGTTGCTCTGGCCTCCCACAGTTGACACTGGGGGGAAAACCAAAACTCTCCCAGTGTTGTTTTTAGGAATTATTTACTTGGTAAGGCTATTGATTTAGCTTGTTGCAAAACTCCACACCTATAAGTCACCCAGTTACTCTGCAGCATTTTATAGCATGGGTATGTGGGCCACATTTTATGAAAATTTGGGCCATGTACAAGCATTAATCTTTCCTAAATAATTTGTAATGCTTCCTTTATTTGAATTTTCTTTTTATCAACCAATGTGGTATAAAGGCTGTCTTGTGATAAACCAGTTCTCATTATGCGTAGCTATGTGTGTTTTCTGCAGTAGCCCCTTCAGTTATAAAACTTTATAGTGGATGAGGCACATCTCTGGTTCTATTTTAAATATACTTTAAATGCTCATTTCTTTACTGTGGCCTTTGGGGGTTGATTTAGGACATGGCGGATGTTGAGATGCATTATAAATGGCCTATTTTGTCTTCCTCCAGTTTTATAATTTTAAAACATAATTAGATAATGTTAAGTTTTAAATATTTTACTGTTATATATTTATATGAATGTAACCCACTTTGAGAGGCAGTCTTCCCTGAAAAGTAGTAGCATTGTTCCCCAGAATTTAGCAACATGGCTGTTCAATGGCCATGCCCTTTCCCATCTTGGATTGAATGCTAAATATTTAAAGTCTCCCCTAGATTTAAGCTAGGCTGTCCATCTTGAAATTTCTGCTTATGCACTTTTTCAAAAGTAGAGAAAACACTATAATCTTCTAAACGAGCTTCTTTTAGTTCAAAGTCTCCTTGTAGTTTTTGCTGAGTAAATAATACTTTGGCTTGAATTCTTTCAGTGGCGTATTTGGAGAGGGTTCTTTTATTTTTGTGTTAAAAGTATACACACACACACGACCAAAGGCTTTAAATGTGTGCACACATTCTGAATCAAGAAGTGCAAATGGAGTTTCACTGGTACAGTAGAGCTTTCCTGGTCACAGCTTCCAAACATTGCCCCCCCCCCCGAAACTCGAAGACCTTTCAGAGCAGAGTGGGATCCAGTGTCGGAGTGTACTGTTAAAGGGGGGGGGGAACCAGCATAAATCAGAGCTCCCTGCCCCCCTTGTGTGAGCAGAAATGCCTTCTGTTCATGAAAGGCACAATGCATGTTGAAAGGAAAGGCTTGTAGCTCAGTGGCAGAGCACACACTTCTTATGCCAGAGGTCCCAGGTTCAGTCCCTGCTGTCTCCAGGTAAAGGTAAAGGGAACCCTGACCATTAGGTCCAGTCGCGGACGACTCTGGAGTTGCTGCGCTCATCTCGCTTTACTGGCTGAGGGAGCCGGCGTACAGCTTCCGGGTCATGTGGCTAGCATGACTAAGCCACTTCTGGTGAACCAGAGCAGCGCACGGAAATGCCATTTACCTTCCTGCTGGAGCGGTACCTATTTATCTACTTGCACTTTGACATGCTTTCAAACTGCTAGGTTGGCAGGAGCAGGGACCGAGCAACAGTAGCTCACCCCGTCACGGGGATTCGAACTGCCGACCTTCTGATTGGCAAGTCCTAGGCTCTGTGGTTTAACCCACAGCGCCACCCTGGCCGGGCAAAACATCTACCTCCTCTCTGAAACTGTGGAGAGCTGCTGCCAGCCAGTGTTGGCAATACTGAGCTAGATGACCTCTGTTTGACCCTCTTGTTTCTTTAACAAATCATTTTACTTCTTGTGAGTAAAGGCTGTGTGATAGAGAGGACCATGTGTGCTAGATGTGATATGCTTATATTTCTTGTTAGCGGAATCAGATCATGGAAGGTGCAGATATATTGCCAGAATCACCTGTGAATTTTCTTGCAAATGTAAAATGGATTCCTTGGGTTCCACTGGGTTTTTCTTGTAGAAGGTGCATGCAGAATCTGCTTGCATGAAGGGAATAGTTGCTGCATGTGAGTAACTGTGTTTCTGCATGGAGAGCAAGCCTCTCTGGACCGTTGCCAAAGGCATCTAAATGTCAACTGTATTCCACACATCTTTGACTTACTGTACAAGTCAGCAGTGTCAAAAGTGTCAGTTTACTGCTGCATAAGGGTCTTCCGCTAATAGAATATTTGCTTTCTCTCTTTTTTTAAAAAAAGGACTGCCCTGTGTCTGAAATGGAAGATAAAGTTCTCAGTGTAGTAAGTGGAAAAGTTTATGTTTAAACTCTTTCTTTGAATGCCTTCCTGTTCAAAACTGCTCTTAAGAGACAATACTGATTTGAAAAGAAGCTTTGTGTGTTAACGGAGCTCACGTACCTTGTGCTGCTTGCATTGCATTCTTCTCTATCACCTGAGATGGAACTCCTGCCCCGTGTCTCGTGGGAAGAAGCACAAGTTCCTCATTGGATGATAGAGAAGAGTGGGAATCAGGAAGTGCAAGAGATCTGAAGTCACTTGTAGTGTGACACTTTGGAGCAAGTGGAATGAAGCCAATTGCTGCTGCTATGCTTCAAGGTATATAAATGAAACACACCGCTTTTTATAATTTACTGCTGAAATACTAAAGTAACAAACTGAGGGCTTATTTTGTTTTGCTTGCCTAAGGAGTTGCCGGCTAATTCTTCAAACATTATTGCATAGGCATACATTAGCATTCTGACACATGAAAAAGTCCCGACACCCAAACATTCAAAAGCCCAGGAGCAGTAAAGCTGTCAGTGTGGCAGCAAATGTACCTTGTTCTTACAGAAGACCTGCACCACTTATGGTTTCTAATTGCACTTGGTCTGAAAGGGAGTTTTCCCAAATATTTTTGCAGTAGTCTTGTGACTGGAAGAGGGATGCATTGACATGCTTGTTATATTTTTGCAGTGGTTAATCATCTCTTCCTGCTTTTGGCATGAATCGGGCTGTGTTCTTTGATAAGGCCTTCCGCCTGCTGATAGATGCTTAGGAATTCACAATAGCTAAAAATAAACACACACACATTTCAATCGAACATAGAACAATTAAAGAGCATTTTACCGTCCACCGCCCCCAATTTTTCCATATTCCCTTCCATGTATGCATTGCAGTGGTTACTACACTTTTTGTTTTTGCTTTTATTTATTTATTTAACTGTAAAAAATGGCTTGTGTGTTAGTCATTTTGTTAAATATTACGTATACTGAGTCAGATTGCTATCCCCATATATCCCACCCATTTTTTTTGTCTGTCAATGCCTTTTCTAAGGTATTGGGGCTCTTCTTTTTCACAACCTTGCTGGCTGCCATCCATTTAAAAATGAGATGCCCTAGCTCTTGCTTAGCGGCCTTGTGTATGCAAATTGTTTGCTGCACTGCTAAACTTCACAACAGCTGCTTCTCACTTTGCCTACATTGTCCTCAGAATGTCAAGGCACCATCCTGTATGTATTAGCTGTTTGGTGTATCTTTAAATTTTTATTGCTGTTTTACAATAAATTTTAATTTCCCCCACCCAACAAAAAACCCCAAACATACATCATTATTTTGAATTAAAGGCAGCTTACCTAACAGTGAAAAATAAAAAAATGAATTAAAAATAAAATGTTAAAAATTCCACCTGCATGGATCTAATTAACCGTACCCAAATAGAAAAGTCTTTAAATGCTTATGGGTGGGGGAGGGGAGAAATTCTTAATTAATGTGGATTTTTGTGAGATTCCAGGGGGGAAAGGATGTTATTGTTGAGGGGAACCACAAAGAAAACACACATTTGCATTCCCTTTTTTATGATTTGGTGCATAAGTGATAAAACTGAGACGATGTTCTTGATCAGTGATGATGAAAGTCTTAGGATTTAAGAGTGGAGGGAGTCTCCAAGAATCTGAACTATTTAAGGCTTTAAAGGTCATATACAATTGGACTCTGAACAAGGCGTCGGTGCATATGATGCTCTGACCCTCTTCCTTTAAGGAGTAGGCCATTGTGCTCTTCAGTATCCAAAGCTTCCCAACTGTAAACAAGAGCAGCCCTTTGTGGAGCTCATTAGTGGCCTTGCTTCAAGTTACAAAGGCCTGAATTATGGCTGCAGGATTTGAATATGTCACAAAGGACCAGCAGCTTTCTTACCAGATGTAGTTGATGAAAGGTAGTGCTGGCAGCTGCTGCAGCCTATAAATCTGGATGCAGTGACCTCTTTACTTGTGGGGAGGACGGAAGGGCTGTGTTTTGTTGTAAGGCAAAAAACAATTGCAAAAGTAATCCTGGTGTTCTTCCTTTGTTTTAGGCCAAGGTTCTAAATGGAATTTGCGATAAGACAATCCGATCTACAACTGATCCGTTGATGAGCCAGGGTGCGTGTCTCGAGGAGGTTCATTTAACTAACATCAAACCTGGGGAAGGCCTGGTAAGAATGTTTTCCTTCCTCAAATCCTGAATTGCTGTCCACTTAGCATTTTTTCAAGTGCATTTATAGTGGCCTAGTCCTTGAAGGCTAATGTGATGAAACTGGTGTTTTAAGTACACAATCCAGAGCTCCACGTGCATAGGAACTTCCAATCCTTTCTACAAAGAATAGGGGATCCTACTGTTCAGTATCCCTGTGTACCTAGAGGGGTGGATAAGAACTTACAACAGAGAGCTCCATACTAGCATTGATACCTTTGTAAGGAAGCCATTACTGCTGCTGTTGAGCTGTAACATTACTAAGAATGCAAATGTCAAGATGCTGACAGAAGGAACAAGTTATTTAGTTTAATAATGTAAAAACTAGACAATAAAGACCTTCCCCTTTCAGTGGAAATAAGTTCGAGGTAAGCAGAGCTGTTCGAGTGGTGTATACCCTCCTCAGAAAATGTTTTGCACCAAAAAAGAGCCGAATTCTGCATATATTGTGTGTTTATCAAGAAAGGTTGCTTACGTTGTATCCAGACAACAGGTTTTCAGGAGACATTGTTGTATACCTTGGAAAATTAACATATTGTGTTTTCATTTTGTCTGTCAGTTTGTCTCCCAGCCAATCAGGGTCTCTGAGTCAAACTGTTTTTCCCAATTTTTGTTTGTGTAGCTCATGGGAAGAAGCTACAAATAGCTCCTGGCAACAAATGTGTATATTTTGGTTTTGCTCTCATGGACACCCATTGGATAGTACACCTCCGCAATGACTTGGAGCTGTGTGCGCGCGTGTGATGATAGGGAAATATTTTATTTTAACTACACAAAAGGATGCATTCTTATCAGTCATCATGGTCCCCAACTCTACAATTCTGTGATTCTATACCTTCACATGCAATTCTTTAAAGGACTGAAGGGGAAACCCAAAAGGAATCCTTGGCTCAGCCTTGCAATCCAAGACTTTTTCCTTATCCAGGTCACCCTAGGAGTAAAATTGTCTAGATCAGATCCTTCTTCAGTTTTGCTATTCTGTTGAGTTGCATGAGACTCAAGATAAGCAATTCCCATTAGAAAAGAGGATTTGAATTGATGAACTTTCCCCTTATCTGCAGTGAGACACTCACTCCTTTTATACCAGGGGTGGCCGGTATGGTGCCCCCAGAGGACTTTCTTGGTGTCCACAGCACCCTGCCACCTCCTGGCCTGTCCCCCTGCTGAAATTGGACCTGAAAGCAGCATTCTGTTGATATCAGTAAATAGTTTGTGGTGTCTGCTTGGTTGCAGTATGTGTTGGATGCCACTGACAAATCCTTCAGTGTGTCCATGAGTCCAAAAAGGTTGGCGACCGGGTTTACACAGTTAAACAGTGTTTCATTGGGACTGGTGCCAGAGTGGGATTATGGGAAAAGTTGCTCTTCATAAATAGTTGTCTCTATAGAGCCTCAATATAATTGTGGATGCGCTATAATTACTGTTGTGCTAAATTTATCTTTTTAACTATCCATCTTAGGGAATGTATATAAAATCTACTTACGATGGATTGCATGTTGTTACTGGAACAACAGAAAACGTGAGTATTTTTTAATGTTTTCCTCCAAACAGAATTAATTAAAGCTATCTTAGATGAAGATGAGATCCAAGAAGCAAACTTGATTAAAAGCAGATTCTGAAGTCATATTTTTATTTATTTGGGTTTTGCAACATTATCATTAACTTATCATTGACTGTGGTAATTAAGTGTGTGCTTGTCTGATGGTGTCTGCCTGTCTAATATCAACCCCTTAGTTTAGTTTGCAGTATGCAAATAGAGAAGAGTGTTTCAAAATGCCGCTGGGGTTTGAAATAACTGGAATTACCAGAACTATTGTTGAGTAAAGCGCTTATAGTGTTTGGTCTAGTAAATGCTGGCTGAGCAAATATGTACTTCCATAATGTGCTCTGTCCTTTATAAAAGCAGCAGCAGGATGTTTAGACTAGTAATAGAATGTAAGATTCCATTTGCTTCCTGGGACAAACACATTTTTCAAGATAACAGAAACAGATCTTTTTAATTGCAAAACCTCTGAATGGTCAAAAGGGAAAGGCTGGTTGAATGATAACGTTTCTGCTGAACTGAAAGACAGCGCTTGGCAGAGTTGAGAATGAAAATACAGATTTTGATGCTGATTGTAAAGCTTTAAAAACTTATACATGTGCAAGTGTTTAAATCTGTCAGAATATCTGATGACTTTGAGTTACAGTTTGAATAAAAGTTCCTGGATTGCGTGGCACATATATCTCAGAATTTTATAAGCATGCAGACTGTTACTGATTCCCTCCTTCCCTAAAGAAAACACAGCAGGTTAGCAGTCATAAACCTTTGGATCTCCTTTATCTCTCTTAGAGCTGGCTTGAAAAATCCTAGCTTCCTTTCTTGGCGACTGCATATCTCCACAGAGGAGCAAGTGATTTACAATTAGTAGAATGATTCCTTTCAGACGTGGAGACTAGACATTGCAGTTGCTGCTGCTTCTCATTCACTGTCCATCCAGTAGTGTAGATAAAGGAGAGCCTGAGATGGTAGATATTAAAGCTCTCGAGTTATTCAAGAGGAGCGAGACGTGTCCGATTCCAGTCAGGTGACAGGATTTCCCAGTTGTTTTTAACGGCTTGTGATTTCCTGCTTTTGGTGGGAATGATCTGACCCAAACAGAGCTTTCCAGTCATCTTGCAAACACTCATGATGCAAGCCTAGAGGGCTGTATTGTTTGTTTCTTTGAGAGCTTTTGCAAACGGATTTTCGCAATCCTGACAGATATTCCTTGGTATGCGCAGTGCACATTTTTGGACGTCTATGATTGCGTACTCGGAGAGATTGTCTGTTGGATTCTTTGCCAAATAGGTGTTTCCATTCCAAGGGAAAAGGGAGTTGCCCACTGGAGGTTCCCTGTCTTCCCAGGCATCTTGCCTCACTTTCCCAATAGCTTTCTTTTATGAAGGTGCTGCTGCTGTAGTTTTTGCCCCCGGAATGCGTCAGATCAGATGGTGAAAGGTGAGGGAGTCTTTCCTAATGAGGCTTTCAGTTCTCATCCCAGGTAGCCCAAGGGGATTGTCCTGTCCTCCATTTCCCTTGATAAGGGAACAGAGGAAATGAGACATTTGTTTCAGTTCTATGAGTCACACATTAGCTTAGTACCTTTTCCTTTCCCTATGAGTGGGATGTCAGAAGTATCACTGGATGTGAAGTGGTCATAATGGCATTGGAGACATTTAAAGCAACAGCTGCAGGAGAGTGCTGTCTCCTGGACAGAACAGAGTAAATATTTAGGTGCCAAACTGCTGCTTGATGATAGTTAACAACAAGGCAGACAACAGGCTTAGTTAGGATATTTGTGATAATAGTTTTTTAACACCTCTATCTTTCAGTACACATAATTGACCCTGCAGCATGTTCCCTACTATTAAGAGAAATCTAGTTAAATTTGCAAGCTTTTTGTTAGATGAGTAAGCAGTAAAGAACAGGCAAACTAAAATGCTTCATGTGTGCTCGAGACAGGTTTTGAAACAAAAGGAACGTGGTGTTCAGGGGTATAGCAGCAGAAATAACTAGAATTGTATGTCTTAGAATCTGTTGTTCTTAAAGGTTTTTAAAGTTTTTGGGGGGTGTTCTGCTAAAACTCCCAGTTGGTTTAGTTCAGCCTTCCCCAACCTTGTTCTCTCCAGATGATGGACTGCAACTCCCATCATCCCCAAGCATAGGTGATGGTGACGGGGGCTGATGGGATTTGGAGTCCAGCAAACAACTGGAGAGAGTGAGGTTGGGAAAGGCTCACTTAGTGTTTTTGCTTTGTCAGGGCCTAAGTATACGGCAGTGGTAGACCATGTGATATAACTGGGTTACTGTTATATAGAAGTTGTGTGCACACGTAGCTCTAAAGCGTGATATGGAAGCTGTTCCCTTCCTCCATACTTCCCATTCTGAAATGACTTCATCCACTTCTCTGTCTCCCTTCCCCCTGGGGTGGCCCTGTGTTTCGGAGGTGACCCCCGCTGAGAGAAAAGTGCTAGGATTAAGCAGTTTCAGGTGGGAAAGCTCAAGTAGGGGAAGCTTTCCCTGCCTGGTCCATGCTGTGCCTTAAATCTCTTCCTCAGATTTATAGGTTTTCAGCATGACTGTGTCATGTAGCTACCTAGCTGTGCCTCAACAAGTAATGAAAACACCCCCTTTTTTGCAACAGTTCTTCTCTCTCTCATTCTGTCAAAATAATTTTGGTTTGTGACTCTTTTGCAACACAGACTGGGGCTCATTCCCATTGCTTGAATTTATGATCCAAGGACTCACAACAGAAATATGTGAGCTGCCTCCCTTAAAATCTGAGATGACAAATGGGACCCAAGACGACATGTTGCAGTTGGGAATGCTTCTGCTTAGGGCAGTGGTGTCCAAACTTTTTCAAAGAGGGCCAGATTTGATGAAGTGAAGGGCCGTGGGGGCCGACCAAAGGGCTGACCAAAGTTCTTGACCTTTTTTTAGGGTTGAAGTTGTTAAGGTTTTTTTAAAGGATTTTACCCCAGGAAATAAACTGCCGCAGGGACCAGATTAAACTGATTGGTGGGCCGGATTAGGCCCCCAAAACGGACTTTGGGCATGCCTGTGTTAGGGAGCCAGCCAGCCATGTTTCCCTTGAGGATAGTTCATTTTCTTTTCCAAGTAAAGCTCAGTATTCCATAGTTGCTCGGTCACCCTTGGGCTACTCTTCTGAGTGTCCCCTGCAAACCTCAGGGTTCTCCTGAACATGCTCATATCTATTCCCTGTTTCACAGTAGTCCCTTTTTGGCCAAATAGCTTTTGGCGTTTGCCTTGAGTTTGCAATTAGAGAACATGATGCAGGGTAATACTAAGACTCTGTTGGATCTGTGAGAACAATTTAATCTAAAGATGGGGAATTTGTGATTGCTGGACTACATCTTCCCATCATCTCTGACCCTTGGATGTGGGTTGATGGGATTTGGAGTCCATCAACATCTGGGACACCTGAGGTTCTCTGACCCTGGTAAAATCCATGCAAGTTGTCACTTGATTGTAGCACCATCAACTGCTGACTGTGAACATGTGACTCATATTCCTTAGAATTTTCCTTAGATACACAAGTGATGTGAAGTAACTCCTTTAAGAACAACAACAACCCAAACAGCATATTTTATTAAACATTCTGTTTAATAATGGAAGTTCTTAAGCCGTACATAAAAATTACAGATCTCAGAGTGTCTGAAGCTGGCTTTCTGTGTGTTTGTGTGAAAGAAAAGGCTTTCTACTAAGTGTTCTATGTCTTGTTTGGTGGGTTGGGAGCTTGTAGCACTCCTAGAGATTTATTCCATGTTTGGGTGTGTTTTTGGTTTCTCCCCACCACCCTCTTTCTGGCAGTCAGAGTAGATTTGCCAGTTCCTGATGCAAAGAGATTTCATGGAGGGGCTACTGTTCAGTGGAAACACAGAAAGTCCCAGGTTCAATCCGTGGTATATCTAGTTCAAAGGATGGGGAAGACCTTTACTTGCAATCCTGGACAGCTCTTGGCAGTAAGAGTGGACCAGCGGAGGCTGGTCTGTTATGGTGAATGAGATGCTGCCTCGCCAGCCTGCCTTCTTACTTACAACCAGTCTGTGGGGCAGCACTGCTTGCAAGCTTCCTCCTCCTTGGTCTCGGTGTTGCTGCTTGCAGAACTCAGCAGGCTTATAGAACTCTGCCCTGCCAGTCCCAGTGGTCCCCAGTCACCACTGGAATGGACAGTTCAGGTCTAGTTGGACAAACAGTCAAGGATAGTATAGCCGAAGAAGTTCCTTGTGTTCCTTTCCTACGACTCCTGCGCCTTTAACACCTGTGTGACAAGGATAAGCTTTGCATTGCTCATCCTTGTGATGGTACAAAAACTGTTCCTGCTGAAGCTCTGCTTGACCTCTCGCATCAGGGCAAGCCAGGTTAGCCAAAAGGAGCTTTTGCTTTTGGCAGCAGAAAATCACAGCAGAGTTTGTGGCCCTGTGAGACCTTAGGCAAACTTTTGTTTTGTTTGCTCAACATCTAAAATCTGATTAAGGGTTTATTGATTAAGATCACAGGGTGGTTTTCAACAGTTTCGGGCACTTGCAGCTGCTTTTGTTTTGTATAGAAAGGATATGCCAGTCCCAAACGTTCACTTGCACTATATAGAGGAGCCCTTGAAATAGAACCTAAGGCATGGCTATGCAAATATAAAGGTGGGGCTATGTAGATAGAAGCAGGTGCTATTCTCAGTTAGTGGCATGGTCACCACTGGCTGCTCCCAGTGATGATCTCCAATATAAGGAAATGGCTAGTTGTCCCTATAGGAGCAAATGGCAAAGAGCGGCATTATGATGCATTGTTGAGCTGATAGCAAAACCTGCCCTCCATCTGAAAATGCAGGGTGATCCTGTTCTCAGTGCCACACACCTAATGGTGTGAACCTACCACCACCTGGGTTCCATGTTCTCAGACAAGCCCTTCCTGCTCTCACACTTCACCTGCCATATTGACCAGCCTTTTGCTGGTTATTTAATTGATAGCTGTGATGTCTAGTGATGGAGATGGCAGCTGTAACTTGCATAGAAATCTCACAGGCATGCCTATCTGCTTGGCTTTTCTGTCAAGGTCATCCTGCGGTTTTTAATGTTTTAAAAAAAACCAACTAAGGAGCTGTTTAGTAGTTTTTAAATGACAAAGCAATGAAAATTTCAGCGCTTCTCTTTTTGTCCTCTGCAGTCTCCTGCTGATAGGTCTCAGAAAATTCATGCAGGCGATGAAGTGATCCAGGTGAATCGCCAGACTGTGGTGAGTAAAGGGCATTTCTTGTTTCCCTTTATTTTTAGCCAAGCAATTTTCAGAGTCTGGGCAAGCTCACAAGACAGATTTTAATCTTCATTTACCAGTGACTGGCCTTTTCAATTAAATTCTTGGGGGGGGGGTTAATGCTGGAATGGTGCTTTTCCCATTAAGGCAGTTTCCCCTAGAATAGCAAGTTCATGTTGTAAATTCAGCTAGAACTTTTTATAAAAGGTTGGTCATAAAACATTTTGATTAAGGAAAGAATGAATTTCCCATCAGTTTATTCCCTTAAGCTTGTTTTTTTAAAAATAAAAATCCTGAGAAATGCAATTCTGTTTGAAAACATCGAGTACTGAGGCTATTTAAGAATGATTAGATGTTTTATAGGGCTCACCAAATGAAAAGTTTACTAAATGTGGGCCTGGAACATAACTCTAGAGGTAGGACCCACTTATAGTGGGTGGAAGTCAGGTCAAGAAACAATAGTAAGAAAGACTCTCCATCCTTCTTGTTGTATACCTTCTTCCACACAAAGCCTGCAATGTCCTTCATGGAAGCAGGTAGAGTCAGAAGAGTCTGCTGTACCGACTCTTCTGGAAAATTCTGGGCAATACCAGCATGTAGAACTGTTTCTTTGTTTAGTCAGGGATATCCTGGGTTGGGTGAGCTGATGGCAACCATTTCCTGTGAGTACCCTTTCTAGGCACATGCACAAAGTTGCGCCTTTGAGCAGGGCTTAGAATGGGGGAGGTAGGGAAGATGGCAGACTGTGCCTTTGCTGCCAGTTGAAGGTTTCCGCTGCTCAGTAGTCACTGCTGTTGATTTGGGGACCATGTGCTGCCTAACTTCCCTGTCCCAAAATTAAGTGCTAGGGCTTTGATTTGGTGGCCTGTTTAAATGAGCCACTCCCTATCATAGTTATTGGCAGCTTGTTGATATGTGCCACATATTCCACAGATGTATTAATGCTCAAAACACCTCACAGAAAATAAACTGTTTAAATTGTAATACTTTATAAAAATCCATCATAGTTTCACTAACAAGCAAACAATTAATGATTAATTTACCGTATTTTTCGCCCTATAGGACACACCTTTTCCCCTCCAAAAATGAAGGGGAAATCTGGGTGCGTCCTATGGGGCGAATGCAGGCTTTCGCTGAAGCTTGGAGAGCGAGAGGGGTCGGTGCGCACTGACCCCTCTCGCTCTCCAGGCTTCAGGAAGACATCCGCAGCCTAGGCAGCCCTGCGGGAGGTCCCGCAGGGATGTCTAGGCTGCGGATAGCAGCCTGCTTCCCGGAGCGTCGGGCGTCCTGAAAGCAGAACACCCGGCGCTTCGGGAACACATCCGCAGCCCAGGCAGCCCTGCGGGAGTTCCCTGCAGGGCTCCCCATGCTGCGGGTAGCAGCCTGCCGCCCAGCGCGAGGGGCGCCCTGAAGCAAAGCGCCCCCCGCACCGGGCAGACATCTGCAGCGTGGGGACCCACGCAGGAGTTCCCCACAGGGCTCCCCACGCTGCGGATAGCAGCCTGCCGCCCAGCGCGAGGGGCGCCCTGAAGTAGAGCGCCCCCGCACCGGGCAGACATCCGCAGCGTGGGGAGCCTTGCAGGAGTTCCCTGCAGGGCTCCCACGCTGCGGATAGCAGCCTGCCGCCCGGTGGGCGGGGCGCCCTGATGCAGAGCGCCCCTCGCGCCGGGCCGACATCGGCCAGCCCCACAAGCTCGGGGGACAGCAGGGAGGCGCAGCGCCGCCATCCCGCTGTTCCTCGACCTGTTTTGGTTTCCCCAACCTGCTTTTGGGGGGGAAATAAAGGAAAAACATTTTCCTTTATTTCCCCCCCCCAAAAAAAACACTAGGTGCGTCCTATGGGACGGAGCGTCCTATGGGACGAAAAATACGGTACTATATGTGAAAAGGTGTAAGTGAGCAGAAAAGCTCACCAATGGGTCAGTTAACAATATCTAATGTAGCTGCAGGACTGATAGTGTTAGTGCCTAGCCAACCTACACCCCATCTTTATACCAAATAGGCAAAAAACCCCTCAGAGTTCTGACAGTGGCACCTTTATGGAGACCCCTAGGGCTGGAGGGTGCACCAAAGCAGGGGAAAGCATCCACCCCCTAATGGCAAACCAAGTCTTTCTCTCTCCTTGTCCTTTGCCCAGCCATTTCATAATCTGCCTGTCTGTTTAAAATATTTAAATCCCACTTTTCAGCTGCGGTTCTCAAGGGCGCTTACAGCATATAAAAACAACTGTAGACAAGCAGACAAAGATGGCACAAACAGTATCTGCTAAAAATGGGGAAAACATGCCACCAGTGATCGAAATCATAGCAGAATCCCTTTTATCAATGGCTTTTGCTCCATGTGATGTGGGGAAGTCCATGTGGTGTGGTAGTACCACAAACCACTAGATATGGGTCTTTTGAGGGCAGTGGCATGGCGTGTGGAGACAGAGTGGTGGTGGCTCCAGAGCAAAATTCTGAGAGGGGCATAACCAGGCACCCACCATGACAAGCTCCCTCAACATGACTGAGCTTCTGCTGCTTTCCAAAGCCTTGGGGAGGCAAACCGTGCCTGGGCTGGGCTTTTAGAGCTGGGGCGGTACCTTCTTTTCTGTGTGACCGGTGAAGGGACCTGTGCGCGTCCCATCCCCGGACTGGCTGACAAGTTTGGGCTAGCTCGCCCTTCCCTCCATGTAGACTCCACACCCCCACCACGTGCCTCCATCTCAGCTGCCCAGTCCACCAGGGAGGGCGCAACACTTGCCCCACCCTGAGCACTGGCAGCCCACGCTGTGCCACTGGTTGAGGGTAAGAGGAGCATTAATCAGTCAGTTGGACCTTCATATATTTTCAGCAAGACTCAGGTGTCTCTGTATTGGTAGACATGTCAGGCAATTCCCTTCCCCCACCCCTATATCTTGTAATAAGCTTATTCTGCCATGTTTTGCCTGCAAAGTAATTTCTTAAAATATGTCATTTGGGTTTGGTTGGGGGTGTAGGGTTTACTTAGAGCAAGTGATATTGTAATTTATACGTAGCTCTCTCATCTCAGAGGCTACAGGCTGGAAGACAGTGTTCACTGAAACTCTGCATTTTTATAGCACCTTTACCATGGCCTCCAAAAACCTATCCTAACAGAGAAGTCTTATACAGCTTCTGGCCAAACCAAGACCTCATAATTCTGTGGTGAAAAATGATTTCCACAATGATGTTATGGAAGGTGATTTGATCTACATGCCTCTGATGTAGGGCAGTGGACATTCTAAGTGTTTTGATTTGTTTTGAAGGTGGGATGGCAGCTGAAGAACCTAGTGAGGAAGCTCCGTGAGAATCCTTCTGGCGTTACTCTATTAGTGAAGAAACGCCATACAGGCTCTTTTAATTTTACTCCTGCACCACTCAAAAACCTAAGGTGGAAGCCACCACTTGTTCAGGTAACAAGGTTTTAGTTTTGTCTTGCCTCTGACAGGCTTCCCAGTGATTTCTTCCCTCATTTTCTGCATGATTTAAATAAATTTTTGTGCTTATTCTTGAAGATGCTCAGGCTTTGGTAAGGAACAGCCGGTTAGAATGTTCAAATCTTAGAGATTTTAGTGGGATGTGAAATGGGTATAGTCTCTTGGGCCCAACCAACTTTATTAGGTCATACCACCTATCTATTTGAGCCTGGAAAATGATACTAAGCCAATTCTTGCACTAGAGTTCTGTTGTAACGCGCATATATAAATAGCCCGTGTGAAAGCACTGAAGCTCAAATTTCAACGTATTTTGCATTGACTAATTTAACTAGTTTTGCAGCCAGGATAGAAAGGGTAGTTGATTACAAAGAATCTGTGAAATCTCATTTTCCATTAAATTACCTTAGCTTTCTAATATACCAAAAGAACAAGGCAGCTGGGGTATGAAGAGAGGGGGAGAATGATTGTTTTTCTTTAATCCCTGAAGGATCCTGTTTATCAGGACAGATAACTTATAGCGAGGCCATTTGGGGCTGAGTTGCTTATAATCCTTTGGACTGATGAATTCTAGAAGTAAACAGTAAATTCTCGATGGGCTGGAAAACTAATGATGGGAGATTATGTTTTCTAAAAGAGCAGTTTTATCCAGTGTTCTTTTGTAGCCTAGCTGAGTTGTGTGATTCCCCCCCCCCCTTTTGTTTTCATGGTGGTGTTTGCATTTGCCAGTTGCCAACATCAGCAGAATTGGGATGTTGTGGCATCTCTGTGTGAGAGAGAAAGGGTGTGGAAAAGAAATGAGGATTAATAGCTTTAAGAAGATGATGATTTTGAGGCTGAGCAAGTAATGTTAAGGGAGTAGTTTGACACTTTCAGGAAGCTAATAATTGAATTGCTTATAGGTGCAGGTACAGTTCCCACCACTTTTGTCTGTGTACTATTTAAGCTGCTGCTCGGCAAGAACGTGCTAAACAGGTGCTTGTGTAGCTGTTTCTTAGCCTTCCAAGTTGATGAACAGGTCTGTGCCATAGGTGTCCACTTTGCATTGTTTTTCAACTCATCTCCTGTTGTGTTTTGTGCTATTCTGTAACTGTTTTTATTAGATTTTGTGCATTGCCTTTGAACGTATGTGGAAGGTTATTAAGAAAACATGGAAGGAAAATTAAGAGAAGTTATCAACATATATTTAATATCTCACAAAAGCCTCAAGGGGCTCATTTTCTTCAGCAAGTCATTTCTACGGTTCCAGAGTATAGCAGTTCACTATTATTAATTTGGAAATGCAATAAACAAAACAACAAACTGCAGATTTTTGGTTGGATACAGGTTATTGGTTTCTTCCAAGGGTGCCTGGAGTTGCACAGCCAGGTTTACCTTAAATTGTTACATGTAGTCTTATTTTCAACAACTCTAGGCAGCTAAGGAAAATGAAGCACAATCAGTAAACATAAAACAAGAAGCAATGTGTCTGTTTCCAGTGGCTCAGGTGAGAGATGAAATGAGGAATGTTGTCACATTGTAGATGGAAAGGGCCAGTTGCACAGTGTACATCTAATTTACTTAAGCAACTACCTATTATTTTTCTCACTGCAGACCAGCCCACCTGCAACTACTACCCAGTCACCTGAAAGCAGCATGGATGCTTCCCTGAAGAAAGAGAAACCAGCCATTCTGGACCTTTACATACCTCCACCGCCGTCTATCCCATATGCTCCTCGGTATGCCAATACCTACCTAATTCTTAACCCCAAAGTGCCTTTATTTTAGATTTATTGTTTATTGATGTAGAATATTTATAAACTGCTCACCATTCTAAAATATCATGGCAGGGTGTAAGAAATAGAGGAGAGAGAGAGAGAGAGAGAGAGAGAGAGAGAGAGAGAGAGAGAAACAAAACGCAAAATTCACACCCATAAAAATACATTGAATCCATATCTAAAATGAACAGGAACAATATTCAGCAATGCTACTATGAAAATGCCTGATTGAATAAAAAGTCTTAAGAAAAGGACCTAAAAGAACACATGGTTGGTGCCAACCCAATTACCATGGGGAGTGTATGTTGAAATGTGAATGCTGCCTCCCTAAAAACTCTGCCCTGGGTACACATGAAACAAATTTCTAGGGTGTCTTAGGGCCCTGATGGATGACATAAGGATTAAAGCAGGATGGCAGAAGGCAAACAGGTTCTAGGTTGCTTAGGGCTTTATGCACCAGGGCTGACTGTCAGTACAGATCCCTTAACAGGAGCATTGCACACTAGTAGCAGGTCGCTCCTCACTGCATGCTAGCCACAGCATTCTGCACCAGCTGCAGCTTCTGAACCAGCCTTAAGGTCAGCCCCACACAGAGTGGGAGTAATCCATTATCTGGAAATTCTGACTATTTTGCATGATGTATGCTGTTAATCCTGTGGAAGGAGCAATCTGAATTGCAGAGTGCTTAGGACTCACTCCAGATCACATAAACCTTGTTCAACAACCTCTCTGGCGTCTATGGTGGCACCATGCATTGCCCACATACCTTCAAGCATCCTGTCTAGGAGCTTGTTTTCAGAGAAGAACCAACATTCTTAGCTGAATCATTGGCCTAGTACCACAGTTTATGCTTTTTCTGCGCTTGTGCAGAATTGTAGGACCCAACTCATGCACCCTTGATGATGTCTTCATTCCTTTTACTTTTTCTGCATCCCCCCCCCCAAATCTTGAATAGCTATAATGTCCCACTACTTCCAAACAGTAGTAAGGACCATCCACGAGTGCAGAATCACAATACCTTATATTTTCATTGCTAATCAAGTTCCTATCTCTTTGCAGGGATGAGAAGGGGAGTTTTGTTTATGCAGGAGGCAGCAAACCTAAACAACCCCTACCTGGTTCCAAAGGTGCAGAATCTCCCAATTCCTTCCTGGATCAGGAATGCAGGAGGAGAAGGTTTACACTTACTGATTCTGATCCATTGCCTGGCTATTCCATGGAAGCAAATATTTTTCCTGCAAAGATGAGGGAAAAAACGCAATCCTATGGTGAGTAAATTGTTACATGTATCAGCTGAGGAGAAAAGCTGTGTGCATCAGAGTGTGTAGGGCGGGCATGGGCAAACTCGACCCTCCAGATGTTTTGGGACCACAACTCCCATTATCCCTGACCACTGGTCCTGTTAGCTAGGGATGATGGGAGTTGTAGTCCCAAAACATCTGGAGGGCTGAGTTTGCTTATGCCTGGTAATAGGGTGTTGGAGTGTGTATGTGACAAAGCCTCCAATGTAAAACAAAGGCTTGAAAATTAGGTCCCCAAATCTGTCACTAAGTACCAGCCACTGGGAGCAGATAGCAGGGAAAGACCACCACCTCTATCCTTGCCTGTTAAGGAGTGGACGCACTGCTACTTCTTTTAGGATGACAGGCACCAGCCAGGATAGGCGGAGATCAAGATAGCCACACGTATCCTGTCCCATCACCAGGCCACATAAATTGAAAAAGGATCCCACAAGACACATCACTCTACCGCAGCTGTGGCATCCAAATTGCTATGGAGTTGAGTGACTTCATCCTCAAAGTGTTGGGCAAATCATTCATAGTTGGCTTCAGAGATCCAACTCCCATGTTTGGGTTGACAACCCTGTGGACCACATGGAAAAGCTTCTTAGCTGCCTCCATTGCTACTTGATAGGTGTGTTTATATGCCCTAGCAAGTGTCCAAGTCAGCTTCAGAACAAATTTTACACCACTTGCGCTTTAGCCATCTCTGAATTTGTTAACTCAGCACTGTTTTCTTGAAACCCCTTCTGTGTTGCCTTTAGGAAAGCCTCGCCCATTGTCTATGCCTGCAGATGGAAACTGGCTGGGAGGTGTAGAACCTTTCTCTAGGCCCCGAGCAATGGGGAGAAAAGGTAAGGAAATTGTGCTCTAGGACTGCCGCTTTCTTAAATGCACTTGTCTGTACATTCACTACCCTGGCCTGTAGCGAAGGGTCCATTGTGCTAAATTCTGAACATCCTCTTGTGTGTTTGCCATGAATAAAATCAGAAGTGGGGATCCTAGCTGTTGAAATGCAAAACTTTGGTCCTTTTTATTCCTGTAAAGAGGTGGCCCACCTGGGTCCACAGGTTAGATGTTATTGTTTTTAACAAATCTCAATTGGGTCAATTTTATATTAGGATGATCTAGTATAAGTCTTTAGAGGCTTTTAATGCCACTGTATCCCTTGACAGTAGGGTGACACCTCTTTGTTAGGCTCTGAAGTAGGTTGGTTGCTCTGAAGTATATTATGGAAAACTCCTCTAAACCTTAGACTGGCACTGGCAAATTGTCCTGGGCCAAGGATTTATTATCTGACTTTAAAGCACAGCACCAGAGTACTGGTTTTCTCTCCTGTTTTCTTCTGTTCCATTGCTCCACATTGTAAAATTGGCCAGGTGGTCTCTCTCTAAGACAATGCGAGCTACTGAGACCTGGTTTGCTTTTGCCCATGAAATGAATAGAAAGAGATGATTGCCTGCAGTGCAATTCAGCCTATATGCTGCTGCGCCACAATCCTCCTTACCTATCCTTAAAAGACACGAGCTAATACCTGACTTGACAAAAATGTACACACACGTTGTAAGAATGGGTGACACACAGAGCCTGTGAACGACTTCCGGATCGTGGATGTAGTGATTAGCCACTCATATATGTTGCTCAATGCACACCTTTGCAGACAGGTGAGTGACTTTCAAAAGTCATTACTGCTTTTGTTTGCCTTGTATTGCAACATTGGAAACAAAGGTGAGTGTTATAGCCAGTGTGAAACAGTGTTTCTGTTCTCTACTGCACAGAGGTCCTCCTTCATTTACTTTGTACAGTACTGAGAGCCAAATCTGCTTCCCTTTCTGTAAGTGCCAGTCACCATAAACTAAGCTATACTAGCGTAGAGAGAAAACCACTACATTGTGTTGAGGAGCGCAACATACAGGGATTTATTTCATGGAGAGAGAGGTTATTCCTCATGCCCCTTAATGCTGTACCCTAAAGGACTAGCAGGGATGCGGATGGCGCTGTGGGTAAAAGCCTCAGCGCCTAGGGCTTGCCGATCGAAAGGTCGGCGGTTCAAATCCCCACAGCGGGGTGCGCTCCCGCTGCTCGGTCCCAGCGCCTGCCAACCTAGCAGTTCGAAAGCACCCCCGGGTGCAAGTAGATAAATAGGGACCGCTTACTGGCGGGAAGGTAAACGGCGTTCTGTGTGCTGCGCTGGCTCACCAGATGCAGCTTGTCACGCTGGCCACGTGACCCGGAAGTGTCTCTGGACAGCGCTGGCCCCCGGCCTATAGAGTGAGATGGGCGCACAACCCTAGAGTCTGTCAAGACTGGCCCGTACGGGCAGGGGTACCTTTACCTTTAAAGGACTAGCACTAGAGTCAGTTTACACACAAAAAAATAATTTTAGCAGTGTTCTAGGGCTTTGAAGCAGGCGAGAGACAATCCATGTTACATACAATATGGTATACTGAAAGCAAAATGGCTCCAAATTTTAGGGATAGTGGTGATTTTGAGTGAAGAAGTGAGGAGAATGGGACTTTGGAAAGTTGTCTGAGGAAACACCCACCTACCCATGAGCTATACTGGATTGAGCCAAGGGCCCATCTAGTCTAGCATCTCGCAGTAGCCAACCAGATGCTTGTGGGAAGTCAGCAAGCAGGACTTAAGTGCAGCTACACACTCTCCCCTTGTGATCCCCAGCAACTGGTATTTAAAGGCAGAACACAGCTATTATGGCTAGCGACCATTGATAGCCTTACCCTCCCTGAATTTCTCTAGTCCTCTTTGATAGCCATCTGAGTTGGTAGCCTTTGATACTACTTGCTGTGTGAAGGAGCACTTTCTTTTGTCTGTTCTGAATCTCCCAACATTCAGATTCATGTGATGTCCCTGAGTTCTAGTCATATGAGAGGGGGAGATGGAATGGGATGGGACTGCTCTCTATTCACCTTCTCCATGCCATGTATAATTTTCTATACCTCTGTCACATTCCCTCTTACCGTTTCTCTAAAAAGGCTAAAAGGCGTGTAACTTTCCCCCCTACAATTCTTGCCTAAACAGCTGCTGGGGGAGTTCCAGGGGAGAAGTTGTGGGTGAAGGATTAAACACCCAACTTTGCCCACTTCTCTGCTCCAAATTGCCCCTTCCCAAAGCTCTTATTTCCGCCAGGATTTTAATGCAAGTACTTGCACATACCTGTACAATTTAGCCCTAAAGCAAAACGCAAATCCTCAACTTTGTACAACAGTAAGTAAAATGGAGGTGAAGAGCAGAACGCAAGTTTGAGTAATCTTAGAGAGAGGTGATGGTGAGGGGAATCTGTGTGGGGCAGTTCACCAAAACCTCAGACTGGCTGGAGGTGTTGAAACGCTCTCTTCTGCATCTCCTTATGCTGGCTCTGATAAGTGTGTGTTTTCTTTGTTCGTTGCAGGTGAAAATGCCCTCTGCCGGTACTTCAGCAATGAGAGAATCCCGCCCATCATTGAAGAAAGTTCCCCACTTCAGCATCCGTTTTCCAGGCCTGTGGCGGAAAGGCAGTTAGTGAGGGGTGCAGACTACATCAGGGGGAGCAGGTGTTTTGTTAATGTGGATCTTCACAACAGTGCGACGATCCCTTTCCAGGAGGATGGAGCCAAGAAGCTCCCGGTGACCTCCTCCACGAAATCCTCCTCCACAGAGCGCTCCCTGCTGGTCAGCTGGATCACGAGACTCAAGTTATTGACTCACTGAGCTAACTGGCTGCGTTATGACTTTCTAGGGTATTTGATATTAAGTGCCTTTTCTTCCCCTCCACCTTCACATGGTTTTGCAGTACCCACAGAGTTACTGAGCAGTTTTGCATTGTCTTTTATTTTCTCCCCCTGGAGAAGCTTGCCCTTTCCCCAATGTTTCTGCCTCGAGATTCACTGGAGTTGGAGAGAGGGGGTCTGTTTAAGGAGGAGCAGGAGGAGAGACGAGGAGAGAGATCGCAAGACATAGCATTTTTCTACCTGCCCAAGGGTGGAGGGGGAATTCAGTCCTCTGGAGAAAAACCGATCAGGCTCGAGTGATTCAGAGGTCACTGCTGACCTGAAATCCGCATGACCCACGCAGAAGCAATCTCTGCATCGTAATGAGGCCTGGTGGCACTTCATTTGCTACAAGACTCTGATGCTGTGCAACCTACTGGATCTGCAGACTATGTAGCACTCAGCAAAAAATGGATTCCTGCGCTGCAATCCTGACCAAGAAGGAAGAAAAGGGGAGGTTTTCCTCTCCCCCCCCATCCCTTTTAAGCAACGTGGTTGCACTGCAAGTGACTGGAGACGACTCAACTGTTGTCAGGAATAAAATGCAGTTTCTTCCTTTGTTCTGATTAGTTATAAACGTGAGGCTATTTTGGTTGAAGTTATTAAAATCTTAGTACAGTTAAACTGTTCTTCCCTGAATTGCTGCAATACTCATCCAATTAGGACATGGATTGCTACAACATGCCAAGGAAATGCATCTCAAGTGACAATGGTAAAAATGAATATATCTTATTGCTTTTTTATGATTAAGACTGAATAGCTGTTAACCAAAGTATTCTTCTGAAAGCAATCCCTGCAAGCTTCTGGAGCATCAACTGTGGTTCAAGGTTGAATTGGTTTTTATAGTATTTGGGCTTTAAAGGCTGACTTGTGATGAGTTACATTTTTGTAAGGCAGTTTGCTGTTTCAGAGTGTTGGGGAAGAAACTGTTTGCCATCATTAAATTAGTAGCATTGGGTGAGAGTTGGGGTGGTCTGTGGAAGGGAGAACTTGCCAGAAGTGTTTGGATGCAAATAATTTGTTGTTTTCAAAGCAAGTGTAGGAAAGAGGGGTTTTTTGTTAGAGATCCACAAAGAACATCTTGTTTAAAATAATTTAAAAGTATTTAAATTACGCTTTCTTTCTTTTCTTTTTCTTAAAAAAAAACACTTAACCTTTTATGCAGCTTTTACATTTGTCTCTGACATCACTGGGTACTAATTAGCCAAGGCAAAAAAAGGTCACACCCCATTAAATTAGTTATTTGAATGGTCTGAAAACAGCACCATCTACACTGATGAAAGGAATTCATCACATTTTACACTGCTGTCTAACATGATAAATGTGATCTTGGCAAGCTTTTTTGAGCAGTTTATAACAAGCATGGGGAGACAGATGTTAAATTAACTGTCTAGGAAACTGTCAACTATACTAGGTTGAATGGATTTGCACAAATTTTTACCATTAAAAGAATGCATATGGTTATAACTAAATTCGATCCTGTTTTTCACAAACAAGCTAAAACAATGACATAACTTGATTTACCTTTCAAGCTGAACTGGCTATTGGTACCAGCCTAGCAAACTTCACCAAAGCTAGTGCAGCTGTTCTGCATCTTGATGATGTTTTCTCATAGTATTCAAAACTTTGTGGCTTCAATTAAAAAGAAGCAGTAAAACAAACAAACAAACCCAAATGTAATTGAAATTGCAGTTCACTTTTTCTTTGAAGATCCAGGCAAGTATGATGTAGAAAGTGAGGTGTATTGTATGAAGTTCAAATATAAGCTAAATATCTCCCTCAGATAATGATAAAGGAAGATGTAACTAAGAAGATGGTCTCTCTCTTGAGCCTGAAATTTTTCGTCCAGTTCAGGAAGTAACCTCTGTTCTCAGGAAAGAATGAATATGTTCATGTCTGTCTTTAATTCTTTTGTTAACCAAGATGGAAGCATCACATGAATTGTTTTGAAACTGTTTCACATGAGAGAAGGTGGCTATGACACTGAGTTGTGAACCAAGAAGTCCCAGGTTCAAAGCTTACCAGCAGTACATTAGGTAAACTCGTATTTTTCAGGCTCAGTCTCCCTTAGATTGCAAGGTTAGAATAATACGTGATATATTTTCACTGCAGATATGTGTAGTATTTGCCACTCCTAGTATGCAATCCATCTAAAGTACCATGACAGGCTCTGATCCTGGTTTTGCATTGTTTTTAGAAGAAGAGCTCTCAAAAGCATTAGGCAGGACTAGTTGACACTGCCCTTGACAACTTCTTTCCCTTGATTGGGCAATAGATGCTCAAAACAGAAGCCACTCCTTTGGGGTCATTGATGAGCCAAACTTCTAATTGGTTTATTTTGATTTCTGGTATACTTTTGCTTCTCTGTGATCTGTTTCCAAGGGCCTTTAACAAGACCTTGAAAAACAGCTAAGGAAGGCAGGAAAAGTGCAGATAACCCCCCTGGCACCATAGCCCTGACCAAAAACACTAATGCAGGACGCTTTGATATCTGTAATTGGAAAGAATACACCTTAGTATCTCCTCTTGACAAATTTCACTGTTGCTTCGTCTACTTAGGAAAACACAGAATAAAAGAAAAATTTGCCTCATTCCACAGAGGCAAATCCCACAGTTGAATAATTTCTCCTAACCAGCAAAGGGCAGAAGTTGTATGGTACCAAGTTAACGTTTGAGGGAATGTATTTACCTGAAAAGTGACCAGATAAAGAAGTTTAATACAGCACTAAACTGTAGTGCATTTTCTCATGTTTACAAATTGGGTGTACAGCTTAGTCTTGCTTGTGTGTGTGCGTGCACACACACATATATGCTAGCCTTAACAGTCATGGCCCTGTGGCCCTGTAGATGTGTGTGTATATATTTGTGTGTGTGTGTGTGTGTGTATTGTTCACTATCTCCCACATATTGTGGGAACTGCTTCTGCAGGATGTCAGCTCTCCATGGAAGTGTGCATGAATACAGCAACCATATTAATCATGTGGATGAATGTATTTATGTGAGGTTTTAGTGCCTTTCAGGTTTGTTTCCATTTCATCAATCTTTTTAAGTTGCTTTGGGACATTTTTTGCGTGAAAAACAATTATAAAATAGTAGTTTCTCATCTGACCAGCACTGTTTTCCCAGTGGGATGTTGAGTGGCTGGTAGGGATCCAGTCAATTGACAGATAAACACTGTACACATGGTGGCTTTAATTTGCACATATCCACCAACTATATTGGAAGTGGCTCTTGCACTGCATGGAAGGGAGCACACAGCTTTACTACCAAGTGGGTTGAGACCCTTAATCTCGGGGTTGTGGGTTTGAGCTCCACATTGGGCAGAAGATTTCTGCATTGCAGGGGGTTGGACTAGATGATCCTCGTGTTCCCTTCCAGCTCTATAGTTCTATGATTCTACCCCATACCTGCAGAAATTAACACTCTCTCACCCACTGTTTAATGAATTGTATGTTCATATGTGAAACGGGAGTAGCTGCCCCTACTTCATCCCAATTTCCCATTGACTTCAGAGTAATTCCCTTTTATATCAGTATATAAAATAAAAGTTTCCTACCATGAAGCCGGCTTGTACAGAAAGTTAACTAATTCTGTATTAACAAAAATACTTAAAATAAATAAGTAACATATTTGTATTCTGTCCTTTTAGGGTAAAATTCTTCTAAGGTGGCTAGCAAAAGGCAGTAAAATACCTCAAACAAGGCATTTAAAATGACTACTAGTAGGTAAAACAGCAGCAATAAAAACATGAAAACCAGCATGAAACTATCAGTTCAAAAACAAGCAGAACAAAAACATTTTAACAGTTTTCAAGCTTAGAAACAGTTTTGTGTACACCAATATCCACATTCCCCCATGCTATTCCACACACCCAGCTATTCATACCAAAATCAATCTGCATGGAAGCTGTAGTGAAGTATAGCTAAAAGTGTGAGTTTCCACAATCCCTCTCCTAGAAACCACTGAAGGCAACAAAAAAGGATTTAGGTGAGGGCTGTTTGCATTTTGAAGTATTATTAAAAGTGGTGATACCACACCTCATTGGTAGCACAATTTCTGTGTAGAGCAGGGGGTAGCCAAGGTGACCTCCAGATGTTGCTCTACTATTCCCAACAACGTATGGAGGGAACCAGGTTGGCTAAGCATGGTGCAAAATTTCAAGTTTAATATCTTGTGACTCCTAATGACTCCGACTCTGAAAGCAGGATTTCAAAACTATTCCCCTCAGTCTCACCACCTTTTTAGGGAGATAGGAATAAATTAAAAGGACTTCTTGTTCTATAGCTCCTAAAATCAAGAACTTTGGTAGGGCAAATGAGGGATCAGGGGCAGAATTTAACTTACTGACAACCTCCAGTTTCATTTTTTTTTTATAAAAAAAAAAGCAAAGCGAACTTCTACCTTTTATACCTTCAAAAATATGTTTTGAAGTGTTGTCCATGGTTGCTGAAGTCTCAGAAACCAGAATAAGTGCTGCTTTTCAATTCTATTTCCAGTGGCCAGAGGGGCAGTTTCGTGTTATTGCCCATTCCATTGATTTGATGAAAGAATACAAATAACTATGGAATTTCCAGGGTGCTGCCAAATGCCTGTGTGCCCCGTGCCCACTTTTGGCCTATTTTTTCTTTGTTGGGGATGTGGTGGGAAGTGTGTTCCCAAGGACCTGGAAAGAAGCAACATGGTGCATATGGCACTCAAAATTGAAAATTGGCCGCCAAACGTTGGTTACCCCTTACTGTAAAAAATAATAATACATAATTTATATAACTTTTTTAATTCTTTGGCTCTTGGGACAGAATGTTCATAGCATGGGTATAGTAGAACATCTGTAACACAGCCCTACGTCCTCAGTGGTTAACACATAAATACAAGGAAACTTGGCATTTGATGTACCACATGAAAAGCTACAGAAAAGAGGATTTGGTTAAACAGAAACTGAATCTGGAAACTTGCACTGAAATGCCCCACAAAGCTCAAGTTGGCAGCAATTCTTACAGCTCCCAAAGCAAAATATTCCCTGCCCCCCACAACACCCCCCAAGCTTAAATTGGAAACTGGGTGAGTTAGTTCTAGTGGAAAATCTCTTTCCAAAATAAAGATATTAAGAGATAATTAGCTTCATTGCACAATCATTCTCATTTATGTTCCTAGGGAGATTTGTTTTTATGCCAAACCTTTTGAGGAGTAAATGATCTCAAATGAGTGTCTTGAATTTGCCTTAGGCTCCATTTTCCTTCTGCTTAAAGAGAGAAAGTTCTTTCACCCCTCTTTAAAAAACCTCATCTTTTTGGCATATCACATGTAGTATTGCATATTTTACTGGAAGTCTCTTGTGGATCAAGACTCACCTGAAAAGAAATAAGTAAAAGAGCATTTTTCTCTAACCTGCTTTCACTGAGTTCATTCTGCTCAAAGGCGTGAAGCTAACTTGGCAAGAAGACATATGATATTATGTTGGGCTCAGCTCAATTATATATATACATTGAAAGTATATTTCACTGGAATTCTTATGGAAGTTAAGTGTGCATATAATTGGAGCCTTCAAGTTGCAGAATGTGCCTTATAGATACTTGCACAAAGGCTGTTCTGATGACCGTAACTGGAAAAGTAAATAGGGATACTGGCAATAATGGGCTCTCTCTTGCCCCAAAAGAACCAGGAATTTCATGTTAATCCTTGCACCTTGTAAAGTAGAAGATGCATGAAATGTCAGTGGATCTAGAAAATAAGTTTGTTTTGGAAGGATGGGTTTTTGTGTAAACCCTAGCCAGCAATTTATGCAAGCAATTTATCCTAGATTCTTTAGAATCTAGGAAATGAATTAGCATTCTGTTTCCTCTTTCATAACCATGATTTAGAAGCAGTATTCTGTTCAGGTTCAGGTAGGAAAAAAGAAGCCAAAGTTCTTCCAAATCAGGAAACAGATGGCAGAAATGGAAAGCTTTACTCGACGAGAGGGAAACCAAATACTTTCTTCCAATACGTGTGTGTTTTTCCTTCCCTGAAAGCCAACTTGTGAAATGAAGGTGTTTAAATGAAACAAAACCTCTGAAAAACCAGCAGTGGTGGTCTTTGTGCTTTAAATAGGTCCCAGTTCTCACCACCGAGCACCAACCAGGCAATGGCTCCTGAGAAGACTGTACCTAGACCCTGCCTGGAGGCTCCACCTATGCTAGAAGGAGCAGAGTAGGGCCTTCTCATTCATCTGCCTGTTGGACAGAAGGAGCACAGCTGCAGACCTGCAGCCAGAATGAAGGGTGGAGAAACTTGAAGGGTATAAAATACCTGGGAGAGGAGGAAGAGGAGGGCCAGCGGAAGTCAAGAGAATAGTCAGGCCTCTAAGAACGGTGGCTTGGCCTTTACTCCCCTGCCAGAGGTCATCTTCAGGCTCTCCCTGAAGCCCTATTGAGCGAGGCCAAGGAGGGAATAGCAGTATTCTAGGTTTAGTCATCTTCCAAGATGCATTGGAGTCCTGGAATTAAGACTGTTAAAGCCAACATACAGAAGCCACACCAAGAGAGGAGATCTGCAGAAAGACTGTACATTTTGTGGGGGTAACCTAGGATGTGGTGGATGCTGGCCTGTGGAGCAGCAGGCCTGAAAGGAAGTCATATTGCATCAGCCAGTGCCTGATTTGACCCTGAGTCAGATGTGGGCTTCTGGAAGAGGGAACAGCCCTTTTTCAAGGCTCCCCTTGTCTTGGGGTATAGCACGAGGCCACACATATAACTCCGTCTAAGTTCTCCCCCACCCCCAACTTCCTGGGTTTAAGGAAGCAACCTACTCGTTCTGTATTTTTTTCTATGAGGAAAGGAACTCCATTTTGCATGACTAAGTGATATAAATGGTATTAGATCTAAATTGACAAACCATCATAGGAAAAGCTGCTTTTAGCTCCTGTGAACAGGATTGTATGTACTTTTCCATTAACTGCAATTCAGAGGTTTCTGGGTGCATTGTGCAGCGCTACTGAACTGAGCTGTTGATATACGGAGATAAGTTTAAACATGACTGGGAAACGGTGGATTTCAAAGTGGATTCCAGGAAACCATGGGATTCTTTTGAAGTTTACTGAGGTTCAGCAGAACAGCTAATGTTGAGCAAGTTTCCCTGTTAAACAGTTTGCCCACAAATCTTGCCCTGTGGATCACAAGCTCTGGAGGATTCCAGTGTGCAATATCAGATCATGTGGGGTGATGACGAAGCATGGTATGGCATCCCAGCGCACACACCAGAATCCTTAGGGGTGCTCTCTCAACTGTGTATGGGTTCCTCAAAAGACTGATATGAAAAAGGTTCACTTATGGTATATCACTTAGAAGCTGCTGCCATGTGAGATGACCTTGGGGTTACCTTTTGTTCTGTCTCTTCATCTATAGCATCCACTGCAGTTACAGGAAAGGAAGCCTGTTGAGGAGAAATCCTGTAACTGCTTCACACTAGAAGTACTACATACCAGTAAGAGGTGCCACAGGTCAGTCTTCTGTCAGATCATGACTGGCATTGCATTTCCATAGCATCCAGACTTACATTAGTGCCAAGTCTTTCCATGTTATGCAGTTTCTGATGGCAAGCAGCACAGGCAAAACATAAGAGCAAACTTGGTCAGAAGAGCACCAATGACAGAAGATCCATGTGGTCAAGCGTAAGGTACATATTTTCTCCTTCCCCATTGTAGCCATCATCCTGAAGCTCAGTGCTAAGATGCTTCGCTTCCTGATTCAT